AGCTGGTAAAAAATGTGAAGCATTTCTCGAACATAATATCAACACGATTGCTATGCCCACATTAGAGCTCGTGGTTGAAGTATTCCTTGTTAGAACAATGGATCTGAAGTGCGGTAATGTTCTTTCTGGGAATTTATTTGCGGATAGCCAGCCCAATGTCACCCGATTTTCCTTCGAAATCCGCTGCTCAACTCAAACAATATCTACTAGTAGTAACTCTGGAAGACATCCATGTAGCAACGACAAAATGCAAACTCCACAGAAGGCTAAAAACTTTAAGCGTTTGTACAGGTCAGTGTTTAGGTTTAATATTACGTCAGGGTGTGTTTGTACATTCAGTGCCCTGGAAGGTTGAGTTATTAGTGAGAGACTCGATTGCGCAACTAAATACTATTCATTAATTCTAAAAAAGTTGCTAGAAGCTACTACCAGGAATACCAAGAACGTCTGATGATCATGAGTGTGCTAGTTCGGTTAGCCGCAATCATAAAATCGTTTGCATTTACTTGAGTGATGTGGGAGCAACGGTACTTTTATATTGTTGACAAGTGTCAGTCGTTTTAAATTCGTGGCAGACAGAAATAAACTTTATTGGACATCCCATCGTCCTACAAAGCCCGTAGTTCCTTAGCGCTTTTTATCATGTTCACCTCAATTTTCTCCGTATGTTGAAAGTACAGTAGACTGACTCGACATAAAAAATAGTTGTATTCACTAATGCTGGTGTATAAGATTGTCGTGAATCGGCCAGTTGTTCAACCCACTAAATATCTGAAGTTCACATATGTATGATAGATGAACATGATTAGCTACAAATTCGAATGGGAGGTGTCAAAGCTCATACATCCTGCTGGTAGCTATTGCACTAATCATTGTCATCGTATGCTTGGATGGTACTGTTTACACCCAGCGGAGAGGATTGGGATTGTGTTTGCATCAGAGCCAAATTTCAGGGGGGTTGACCTCAGATGAAATCACAGAATATGTTACTAGGGGACATTGTCTAATTCTGAAGTACTCCTTCGAGATGGTAACTAGGAATTCCCGAAATGGTGCAAGTTAAGGCAGGTAGAACTAGATGAGCACGAATGAACGCATTGTATTTATAACTCGTAATAAGCGGCCAATCAAGTACAAAACAATAATCAGTTAGTACAAATACCACAGGTGGTTAGTGGATACATTTAAAACAAATTGCTTTCAGTGGGCTCCATCCAATGGACAACAATTGGTTGCTGTGAGCATCGTTGGATTAGTAACACGTAGTGTAGTCTTGAACGCATTTGTAACTAATATTATGATGTAAATAAACACGTATAATTGTATGTAATCATTTTGTCGCACCCCAAGATAGTTTGAAGGATTGTTTACAATATTTAATACTAAAACTACTACCTTAGTAGTCATTCTAATAATCTCATCTTACTGTACCGATATGGAAGTGAATACATTCGTCCTAGGCTCCGTCTTAATTATAACTAGCTGACCTATAGGTTTAGAGAAATCGTATGTATCATCCCTCGAAAATAAGACGTCCCATAAAGTTTGTCCTTCCAGTCAATTTAGTTAGGTCCGTCGAACACTATTAAACTTTGTCATGACCCAAGTAATCTAATAAATATGCGCTTTATACCTCGAAATATACGTCGTACTTTTATTACGGCTCAGATTAGTTACGAGTTGTTGAATAATCAGTGATGAGATCGTTAGAGTTAAAGTTTATTCGAAACTTGACTGGTAATCTAACTAAAAGAAAATACTTAAAATAATTTTAATAAGATATAATTGTTTTATTTTTGTTGTTAAATCCACATATTTCTGTCATTATCTCACACTGACTAAGTCATGTATGTTCATGTGGTTTCTAAATAGGAAAATTATGTTAAGGTTTGTTAAAGTAAACTCAATTGCCTACAATTAACTCAAATATTACACATCTTTATCTAAAGCACATCATTTATGTAACTGTTTACAAAGAAAAATATTTTTTACCAAACAACTCAATGGTCACGTCAGTTGACATGAATGTAAGTCTCAGATCAGTTATTTGAATAGATTTTATAATATTTACTTTGCCAAATATGCCAGTGTACGTTTGTACGACACAAAATAATAATAAGCTTAAGCACATGATTAAACAATTGTAGACACAACAAAAATACGAACTGTCTGTACCTCTATTATACTGACATAAATCGTATGTTTATTTACACTGACTGAAAAAACAAGTATAGAAATTTAGAACAGAACAACAAGTCTCATAAATAGCGACATATTGGGTCAGAAAATGTTTTTCCTGGGTTTTTATGGTTTCCAAGTCGATGTGAATACGTGATAAGTGTATGAGGAAATTATTTACGTATGTATTTCATAGTAAACATTATTATGAAAATATTAAACAAAGTTGATAATAATCTAAAATCAGACATTTACGAAATTATTGTGTACTTTATAGTTCAAAAGAAATCATAACATTCGCATGCATCACTTGGTCAATTTCTATCAGACACCACCAGTGTAGGTCCTCGTACATATGTGCGCTGACCTAAGTTGCCATATCAGATTAGCATGATAAGATGAAAATAACAGAAAAAAGATAAGATCCCTTTGTCACAATTTAACAAGTCTCTTAATACACCAAGAGTAACGTAAATCAATAAAAGGTAGAATAAATGCAACTTCCCCAAGATATCTAGCTGTACAATCGTATGTATATATGAAATTTTTTTGTCAAAGTACTGATTCCATGACGAAATGCGAACACGAATAACCAATATGACGTAATAGAAAGATTGTAATACGAATAATAACAATAGATTTAGTGAATATAATAAGATGATTAAAATGTTTTTGTTACAATAATTAAAGGTCATAGAGGTTTAAAAATAAATAAGGTGATATGATGAGTACTTATGGATAAAACAATGAGAATATAAGACTTAAGTAAAGGGGAATTCAGTAATAATAGTAATGACAAAATAATATTAAGGCCAAGGTAGTTGCAATAGGAAATCTAGTTGTTCCGTCCCAAAGGAAAACCCTTTTTTTGATCTGGAATTTAAGGGGGATTGAACATCTAACGTAATCAATAATCGCCTAACAACTGCGATTAAAAGAATATTTAATGCGGCGAAATTGCGAATAACCTTCTGTATCCATAAAAGATAAGCTTCCGCGTTTGGTTGCGTCCATGTGCATCTACTAGTCCACCTGCTCTTGTGGAGCAAGGTACATTGGCCGTAGCCAGCGCTCGCTTTCAGCTCGAATACCAGACCATGTTCCAGTTTGGTTCTACAAGGGTGAATGGAAAGCAGTTAAGAGTTCTATACTTGGATACCTAATCGACTGTAAACATTTTACGGATCCAGTTTGAGTTTAAGGTTGCTTATATAATTCGTTCAAATCTACCTAGATTTTTTCGTATCCATCTCCTAATAAATAGTCGAAACTCTTACCATCCATGAGCTCAAACTAGAACTACGTGTACAAAAGAAGTACGTCTTATCATTATCTTGGCCCTAATTAATATTATTTTTATCATTACTATTATTACTGAATTCCCCTTTACTTAAGTCTTATATTCTCATTGTTTTATCCATAAGTACTCATCATATCACCTTATTTATTTTTAAACCTCTATGACCTTTAATTATTGTAACAAAAACATTTTAATCATCTTATTATGTTCACTAAATCTATGTTATTATTCGTATTACGTCATATTGGTTATTCGTGTTCGCATTTCCTCATGGAATTAGTACTTGGACAAAAAATGTTCATACATATATGATTGTACAGCTTGATAATAAATTCGTTGAAAAGAGATCCTTTCGCTGAACTTCGTGTTTTTTAATTTTTAATAGGAATATGTTATCTTTCAGCTGGAAATATATGATTTCGGCTATTAATATTATCGCTCAATGTGGAAAATAATTAATTGTTATCAGGTTATGACCACGAACACAGTTACGTATGACAAATATATACATGAAAAAAAAACTTAGTTCTTACTCTAATCTAAAATATATGGGATAATTGTATGATCTATGCATATCGTAGCTTACTGTTTGTAACATCCATCAGGATAACATTCCGTTCCACTGTGATGCACTCAACTGTGTCTGTTTACGGTTTATCAAAAGCTAATGAGAAAGTTGGTCCGTTTAATTTGCAAAAACGCAACATGCCTTACAAAAGAATACCTTACAATATATTCACCACTTACTAGACGAGTCTTATGTTGCTGAATCCCAGGCAATACTAATATCCATCCCGTAATCAATCATGTCTAATCCAATTGACTATACATGCTACCGGATACAACATCTAAACAATATCAGTGGCTAATTACTGTATTATAGTTCCCTTGTTTAAAAAACTGAAAAGTACAACAAATAAATACTACAAGGGTACGAGAAAGCTGACATGAGTTAACCTGCGTGAATCTTAATTTTACCTAACAAGTATTACTGAACCAAATTTCTCATTTCTATATTCTCACTCCCTTTACTTTCCCTACGATAATTATATCTACTAAAATACAGTTAGGCTATGTGAATGGTAGCAACCGACACATCAATAGTAATCAACAAAGTGGGTTAGTAAAATCCAGGATAGTTATTAGCTAGTGAGTGAATCACAACATACAGGCTGGAACATATGTGCATCGGTTCAAGTAAACACACTCGTTAGCACAGAGAGGTAAAATTGTCAGACCAATTCCCAGAATATTGTAGGGGTAGTAACAGTATCAGTGGTAACGGGAAAGATTAGGCCTTGAAGATGCGATTCGAGAAAATGTAAATTAGTGGAATAAAAACAAAGAAAGCTATGAGGAATTTAGAATTTTAAGAAGACAACGGACTGACGCACATGTACCATCACAAACGATTTTGAGCCATGTTATTCAAAGTCTCTAACCATAGGTTAAGATAACCACGCAGACCCCGACCAGGAAGTCTACACTTGTTGATATAACTCAGCCCAACTGTTAATGACTTCATCGACTGATGCCATATTTTGGTCTGACCACCCCTAGAATTCTTCCAGCCTACTCTTACACCAGAAAAAATCGCCCTTTGCGGTAGGCAGTGGTTGGGTATAAGTAGTAGCAGGAATGTTGGTCAGTTCAAACATGACTCAGGTACAACTGACGATATAAACACCGGATTGTTGAAGGACAAAGTAATCTTATGACTGGAGCAAATACCAGACTGGTCAGTATATGTTGACGTTTAGTGTTGATGATATTATATCTATCAAGTATCCTACAAAAGTAAATAAGTTTAATTTCCAGGTAAATAACTTTGGATAATGAATGATATATTACATTCTAAACGTGCAAATAAATATGTATATACATACAAGGATTTATACAGGTACTTTATTGTACGTAATACAACTTAAACATAAGTGAAACAAAAAAATAGTTCGATGAAAACATCTATAAGTCAATGATTTTTCAAAAAACGTAGTCTTATACTGCTCATCATCACATAATAATGACATGCTATGTGTGTGTGTTGGAAAGTAGATAGTACTTAAGAGAATCACTTATTTATCCAAAGGAGTTTAATAGTGAATAGGATAGTTGATGGTTATTTTAGTACGATTTCAGAAAGAAGACAGCATAAGACATTCGAATGATTAGAAGTAATCTAGTTTGGTTATGTATAATTGTGTAGTATTACTTTAGATATTTCACAAATGAGCGATTGTACTACCTATTATGGTAGTAAGGAAGTAGATAGAGTTAAAGATGCCATGCTAATAAACCTATTATTTTGTTATCCAAGTCATTATTCATTCCAAATAACAAAATGGAAATACACGTATGGTTTTGTCGTTATAATGACAACTGGTTAAATGAGCTGAAATCTTTGATCTAGCTGATGCACCATGTGCAGATCTCCATCCTTTGATAGATTCAGCACGATGTGGAAAAGACCACAAAAATCCTGTAATACGCCAAGAGAATAAATCTGACGATCTGTGATGAACTTTATCCCATTGTGGTGTGACAATTAACCTTGCACAAAGAATATTTTATATACGGTAGATAATCGGTTAGAAACTTTAGATAAACAAAGTAAAGACATGTCATCTAAGAAAAAAGATAAATAAATTAAAAGTTCTGCAGGCAACTGATCAAAATTAAAACATTCACTATTTGTTAATTCTGAATGATGAGTAAGTATATTATGTTGATTAGTTTCTGATTCATACCGCGTTGTAAATGTAGCAAGAGTTGGATTATACAGTAAATGATTATATTCACTATTAGGACGAAGATTAACTACAGCATATTTACAACCTAAAAAAGACAATGGACAACGAAGTTCAATCCATCCGTCTAATTGCGCTTGTACATTACTATGCAACTGATAGTGTGATCCATAATTTGTTCTTTGAACTGTACAACCACAAATATATCCTGGCTATGAATGGATAGAAATTGATTTGTTAGAATATATATGATAACATGTATCATCAACAAAATGCACAAGAGAAAAATGGATGATATATATATATATATATATATATATATATAAACAATTTAAACTGAATAAATACGTTAACGAAAGAGTTTCAGAATTTCGACCGCACGGTGATCTCGGATTAATAGCGTTCGATTAATACACATGTTGGGACGAGATAGACTAGAGAGAATGCCAAACTTTGAATGATTTTCTGGGGATGTCACTGTGCAAATTTTCTAATGTGTATTTATGTTCTAACTTCAAACTTCCATACGACTCACTAATTGTTGTCATATCTTCTTCTGTTCTCATATCACTTTAAATTAATTATATGCCCATTATTCCGAATTTCTTTTAAAATGCTTATGTTTGGTACATATTGTAACCTCGTATTATGAGGTGTTGCAGTCCAATAACTAATGTACTTAATTGTGTAAATTTTCAGTCAGATACAGAGATTAGACCAGCTGTCTTATTCTCATCTTCTAATTGGTGCTCGTAGGAAAAGTAAATATGTTGAGCTAATAAGCGTTTGGATATCAGCTAACATAGTTGGGACACTGGCGTGGTACTTTACAAGGTCAAGTCGATTATAGAGTCTAGATTATTTCGACTTTTACTGTTTGTTTTTAGTATTTCCAAATTTAGCTTCATCAACGTGTAAATAATTGAGAGATTTGATGTTATAAGCTTAAGTTAATTAAGCCAGATGTGTACTAGTTTATGTCCCAGTAACTGATGGTCGAGTGTTTACATTGCAGCGTTATAAATTCTACTATTCAAACAATTTCAGAGGCTGTTTGAAGTTGTAACAAGAGGTAAAGTGTTTGATAAATGGATAAACTAGTCATGATGATGACAACCGGAACAGTGGTTTATACAAAAAGGAAGATCTGGCATTCAGAAGAATTTATATATCTACCTCGAGCTTAAGAATCAGGAAGAAATGTGAAAATAAGACTATTGTATCAAAAACGCCCAACTGATATTGGATTTGTATGTGCACATATGGTATTAGACAAAAAGTAGCTAATGTCGAAGATGTCGTCAACAACTCAAATTAATATGAAGTTCGAAATGAACAAAGAGTTCAGCGAGAATTTATGACCCATCTATTTTTAATACTGACAGTAACTGACATTTATTTACTTCAAACGACGAAGTCCTCTAAATACAGTTTATTTGAATAGTTAGCCAGAGAAGTGAAGGCCAAAGCTCAATATTCAAAATCCTTGAGATTACTTTTACACCTTGGATTATTAGGATCTTACTTATTTATATGAGATAGCGATTACATACTTCCAAGTGCTTCCAATGAGATTTGTTTGGTCACTAAATTGAATCTATCTTAATGACGAGTAATTTTTATTTTTGAATTTTTCTAATGTTTGAATTCATATATTGTTTTTTCACTTAAGCTAAGGAATTTTTGGATATTTTTTAGACTATAAGGTCACGAATGCGTGTTAGATCCATCTTAATTTGTTCTTGTGTAAATTCATGCTCTTCTTGAACCAGCTGACCTATGGACACCATTTCTCCAGTCATTTTACTGCGGAAGTTAATTACTTAGCTAGTTAAACATGTAGTTCTCACAAATCCTAATTTGTATTTGTTTCTAAGATCTAAAACAGCATTCGACTGCGTTTTTCAACATTTTTACAGTAACATATGATTTATCAAAGGATGATGAGATTACGGCTATAAAGAGTCTGATAACACTATTGTGAGAACTCTCTTTACACATTATGATCTCAAAGTTAATAAAGCCAGAAGTCCGGAATGTGGTGATATGAATTTGTATTCAAACTGAATGACTGGTTACCTTATTTTATCTGGTCATGGAGTACACAAATGCATTCTAGTACGAATGTTTGTTAGGGAGTCTCCGGCTGAGGGTTATCACGAAGAACCAATGATGTCACCATCAGTTTTGAAGACTCTCATAGTTCTTTGTTTTAAGGATTTATTCACACTCACTTCACTCGATATTTTAGTTTTTAGTCCTCTCCTTGTTACTATTTAGCCATTTTCCGACTGGCCTAATTTTGTTTTACTTGATTACCGTATATGAGTGGTTTTCATATTAGGTGTTTGTATTCTTGATTGATACTATTTGACTGGTAGATTTGACTTCACCTGGAAGACAGAAATAATATCTCCAGTTTATCGCAAACATTTATCGCTAACAAAAAATCTGATCGCTAGTCATTCGAGTAAAACGAACATATATACACATCTTAGATGGAAATACATTTATTGGATGGTAGAATATAGCGTTTGTTAGACAGATTTTAAGTCCGCATAGCTGAATACCGAATTTAGAATACATGGTCATACAGAATATTGCTTGCCAAACGCACTAATCTTATTCTATTCTTAAAATTGATTTGTACTTTAATTCTATTTACTTTAGTCAAGTAATATAAAATGATGTATGTGGAAGAACGTGATTAGTTTTGATGAACTATCTGGTTCGATATTCTGTGGTTAAAACGTGTTTTCAAAATATATCTTGCATCCCAGTAGAGCGGTCATTTACCTATTGAATATTATTTCGGCAATGCGATATACCGAGAGATGCCTCATATAATAGTTTCAAATGATGGCACATAAGTGATGCTCTTGAAAAATAAATTCACAGCTAAGATATTTTTCACTTATTTGTAGTGCTTGCTACTATGTACATGTAACATCAAAATTACAGCTATTTCGAGACAGGTCTAAGAATGTTTGCTTATCCTGCTTCAACTTCCTATTCTCTAGGTTGTTTTAAATACGGACACGCTCCATACATTTTCTTGGTGTCAGCATAGTTTATTCAGTCTTGCGTTCGTTGTGAAATCATGGCTGAGACATTGAAAGCATGGAATATCGTACGTCTGGCTAGCTGCTTAATAATAAAAGGTCATTACTTAAGGGATGCAGTTGCCCAAAGACACACATTAAAACTAATCTACAGACTGTTGAACAAAGTCTTACCTTAGTCAAAGCCAGAACAAGCAAGATATTTGGCTTGATAAACTTCATCTGTTTCTAAGACGTGAGTCAACACCATCCATATACGAAAAACAACTAATACATTTTGTTAGACAGGGATAAGGAGTGACATCAATAACATACCGGCAAGTAACTGAAGGATAAGGAAATGAGTCAACAAATCTTAATGTCGATTACGACAACCATGTAAGATTGTGACTGGTGAATAGACAGTTATATAAAGTCAAAAGGAGTCGGGGTGGTGCCGCCATTGGTGGGCTGGTTTACTGATCACTCCCGACACTGTCATTTAGAAGGTTGATGAGTGGTCCCCTACCCTGGCATTCTGGTAACGACGTCGTTATTTGGTAGCGTGGCATATAATAAGATCCGTTACATAGATAGCATCACTTCAAAACTCTTTTGGAGTTAGAGAGGCTTTTAACACTAAGTTTCTCTACGCAAATTAATTAATGTTTGTGTGACTATGACACTCACGTGAAGCAAATGATAGTGCTTCATGACCATATTCGTAGCAAAATTGTTATTGAGAAATATAATCAGATATTTAGTTTCGAAGAGCAGACACGATAATTCTAGATGCCTACCTTTTCGTGTCGAGATACTCAATCGAACTTTAACGAATCTAAGTTTTCCTCTGACCGTCTCATGTTTCTCTTCTGAACCACCTTGCTGTCTAGAAAAATTGTCCCCGTGGTATGACTCACGGATTATTTAACATTCTCTTTTCGCCAGAGAATGAGGCAGTGTGAACTGGAGTTATCACGTTTTTCCTTGATTTATAGATATCCTCAATACTCGGTATACCTAGGTCATCTAACGCATTATCTACAGGCCGTATTCACTATAAAACACTTTCAATGATCTGAACTACGAGTCACGTGCATGAAATAGACCTAGAAATTTGTTGTTCGGACTCTTATGTTGATACGCGGGTCACTGTGTTCTCATTTCTTTCAGAACTGGGCCATTTATCATCCTCTTCCTACGGGAATCTCGGCCATTGTAATGCCTCTTATGTTAGTCCTATCATTTATTAGTGATCTACGCGATATTTAATCTGCCAGGTCCAGTTTACTCTTCACGTATCTCTACTGGTGTTGGTATGGACAACACATGTGTGGTCGCTAAGCTACTACTCACAAACCGTTCAAACTTTTCAGTTGTATATTTCATTCGAGAAGGCGAGATTAACGAATCCATCTAGTAAATAACCGAAAGAATGTAGATATTTAACAGTTCTTCCACATGCTTTTCAATCTGAACACATAGCATGCAGACCGTCGGTTCAATAATAGGTAAAGCTACAAGTTTCAGGGGAACGATTATAGACTTGGCCAGCAGAATTGCGCAGCAAATTTAGCAAGAAACACTTTCGCATTGAGTATATGTTACAATACCATAAGCAAGCTAGGAAGCACCAGATAAACAATGAATCTGAGCAAATAATGGTTCAAATTATTATGTTAAACGTCTCTGTGTGTGTAAATGATCCACGGATAATTCTGCATCCCAGTCTAGTTTCTGACGACAAGCATCATTTAAGCACAGTGTGGAAGGAAGTTTCATTGAAGCTCTAAGCTCAAACAAGTTAAAGATAGGTACTACATACGACGAAATATTTCTTTTGGTCAGATTTATATGAGATGTATGGACTTCAAAACATAACTCATCCGTTCAGACACTACACTCTATTCATACGGCTCGTTTACTCCTTTGATCGGACTCACTAACGGTAGTGTTAATCTCAATGAGGTCTTTTTCCAGAACTAGATTCATCACTTAAACACTGTTACTTGACAATTTATTTAGGTTTACTGCTCCTAGGCTTTATGAATATCTTCATTTGGATTATTCTCCAACATCCACTCTTATAGATACATCGTCCATATGGAACTACTCCTTAACGGCTTGCCTAATACACCTTTGAAACACTTCCTGATTATCTGCTACG